GTTGTGTTGCGGGTGCAGGAGGGGGTAGGACTGATCATTGTGCGCGATTTTTATCTTTTTACCTCGGTGTCACATGAGCAAAAACGTAAATACAGCCGTAAAATAGCCCGTTTTGCAAATTTACGTTTTTACGCATAAAAACGTAAACGCACGAGCGTGAACGTAAACGCAAATAACGAGCCTGCATACATGGACAAATTTAAATTGAATGGGTGCCGTTATGATGACTTTCATCAAGACCGATTGTTCAACACTTGACAGTGATTCTCCCTCAAGATTTTCGTGCGTTGGCCTACGTGCACTGTCCACCTCATGGTCGCAGCTTCAACATAAAAATGAAATAAAAAGTAAATAAAATAATAAAATAACAATGCGCTACCGATGTGCCTCCCGAAATGGATTCGATGATAATAACATTGATGTGTTCATGATTCATTGACGAAATAAAGGAAGTCCCTGAAATGTAGGGCGAGGAGCTGCAGGCGGTGAACGCCGACAATCCCGAGGCTCAGGGAGCCCAGGTGGAGGAGAAAGTCGAGCCTGAAGCCACAGAGGCTCCTGCAGAGGGTGCGGATCACCGATGCGAAGCACTGATCACAATTTGGAACGAACAATGAATCCATCAAATTATCCGCGCGATTGAAATGCACCAAGCGTTGAGATGGGGTCCTCTGGCACAGTCAGAAGTTTCAAAATGTTTTATATAGGAAGGATGGGGTGGCTAGCCTACCATATTGATAGCAATACTGCTATTGGCAGTGCCCGCCACAAATATCCGATACCTTCATTTCCGGACAGGAAGTCATGAAGGCCATGCAGGTCATTTCAATGTTTAGATTCTACTGTTTTGTATTTCCAGTACCCTTAGCGATTTTCATGAATCTTTCATGTCCTTCATATCAAGGGATAATGGGTACCGGACTACCATCTAAAATGCCTCAGGGCTTTGGCTCCATAAACAATGGCTTTTCTTTTGCCCGAGCTTTTCCAGGGGAAGGTGGGGAGGAGGGAGCGGCACCGGAGGAGGAGAAGGACCCAAAGGCGGAAAGAATCGAAGCCAGCGTCATCATCGACCTGGGGAAGCTGCCGGATGACGTGCACACCGTCATGTTGTATGTCACCCAGCTGGGCGGGTCGGGGTTTGGAAACGTCAAGAGCGCCTTCGTCCGGGCCATGGACGTGAGCGGATCTTCAGACGGGAAGTGAGTGGGGAGCGCCGAAAAGTGTCATTTCGTGCGATAGTGTCTACATGTACTTCAAAGAGTACTCATATATATTATATAAAGTACTGTACTATATTGTACTATATATTGTATCGTTAGCACTGGATATAGTAGTAAATATTGTAGTATATGTTGTGCTTTGTACTCCAGTACAAATTAAAGCAATTTGTTTTAAAAAAATCCCTGTTGGCATTCTAACCAGAGCCCATTAATCACGCCCGGTCGCCCCAAATGCCGTCAGCGCCCGCCCTCAGTATTTTTAAAGGGAAAATGACAAAAGCGGGTCATTTGAGAGACATCTTGACAAAAGGGGGTCCTCTGTGACAAAAGGGGGTCCTCTGACCGACCCCTGTACATTAGATGCGTTGCCAGACCGGCGCTACACCGGCGCCGTTCGGCAAGCTGGTCCTACTAGGAGCGACCCCGCAGAGGACCGCCTTTTGTCAATTTTCCTCTTGGTGGTTGAATTTCAATCAGATGTTTACATCCCTAGCAAAAACACACAACTTTCACCACAGGATCTTTAGCAAATTAATAACCCTTACACAGAGATTTCGCAGAACTGTAGAACACAACTCAGTGGTCATTGTTTTTTCCATAGCGAAAGCATTATCAGCCAAAACCAATACGGATGTCACAAAAATTCCGGCACCGGTCTGGTGCCTGTCTGGCAACGCATCTAATGTACAGGGGTCGGTCAGAGGACCCCCTTTTGTCAAGATATCTCACAGAGGGCCCCCTTTTGACATTTCCCATTTTCAAATGATATAATACAGTGTCGTATATAAACAAGTATAAGTGGACTAGGTACATACTATAAGTGCATAAGTACCTATAACAAACAATTAGAACTGTTAAGTAATTGACTACATTACTGAAACAAACAAATGCATAATGAAACGGATAAAATTCACAATGAAACGGATATACTTAGAACTTGACAATGTTGATTCCGATCAAACACTGCTATGCCGCCAATGCACTGACTTTCATCAATTATCACTGTTGAGACACGCGCAGAAATTAAACCAAGCGATACCGAGCTGTCGTCGCTGTGTGCATTACGTCAATAACGCTTTCCCACTGAAGTGGCGCCATCCCATTTCCAGGGACTTCATGTTCTACAGATTCAGCAGCGCCAAGGGAGAGGACACCTCGATCACCGGCATGGCAGTGTGCAAGCTGTACAAAGAGAATAAGGACAGCGCATACTGGTGCTGGCGGCGCGCGGGCCATCGGGACCTGCGCTCCTTCATCGACAAAGCAGACATGAAAGACGTCATGTCCCACATTCTGCAAGGCAAGAAGGAAGTACGTGGGTGGAGCAAAATGCGCCGTACTGTCCAATTCCGTAATCTCGTCTTTCTCAACATCCATCCGGGCACCTAACTAGGTATTAGGGTTGGTTTTAGTGTTTTTAAGGTCACGGTTTATATTGTATAGATTCCTTAGGTTCTTTGCATTTCTAGAAGTTTAAGTACTGGGTCTAGGCATTGGCCTCGGGGCCGGTCTGGTGTATCGGGAACGCTCTCAATTGCTGTCGACCTTTAAGCACAGCTTTCTCTCAATTGTTTGTGTCCGGTAAGAGAACGACCTGCGCATTGGGAAAATATAAGTGTGCACACAGTTGTGCACCATATATGCAGTTTTCCTGAAATTTTCTGGTCTTTTCCTTACTCCAGCACGCAAAGCTGGTAGCCGCTGCGCAAGCGGCGGAGGAGGCCGGCGAAGAGGAGGCGCCAAAACCGATCAGGGATTTCGAGTGGCGCGTGAGGGCAATGGGATCGCCCTTGAAAGGTGAATCGCCTGAAGACCATCAGCCGCATGTGGTGGAGCTGTCAGTTTATGAAGGTAGGCCCACAATTTTCAGCGACACATTTCTCAAGGTTGACTCACGCGCCACACGTGTGCATCAGTTGGCAGAGGTATGTTGGCGGCCCCAGGGAGAATTCTCCCCGCAGAGTATTGGCGAGGACGTGAATGAGAAGGTTTCTGTCCCTACGATGGCGAGGATACAAATTCTGCGAATTTCAACAAGCGCGTGAAAGCATTTCAAGGAATGCATGCCTACACCGTGGGTGAACACTTCAACGTAAGGGCTGAATGGATGCCCGCTGCATCACGCAACAGCGAACCGGGTGCTGCAATGAAGAGTCGTTCGTTCTTTTATTTTGGTTCAATCGACAGCATCCGTTGTTGTCTACTGTGCTAGAGGTGCATCTGGTGCTCTTAATACCAGCTCACACTACAAGTACATGGAGCACATACGAAAAGTGTCGCTAGGGCGAAGCTCAGGGGAAAAACATCCTGCCGTCGTCGCTCGGTGAGCCAGTCCCCAACCTGCGTGGAAGCGAGCGTCGTGCTTCATATTCATTCGAGCCATCGGAATCCATCCGTTGCGTTTGACACACTTGATCCATTTGATACAAAATCGTGATCCTGTTTGATACGATTCATGCAGGGTGCCGCACGGAGGTCGGCCATAGGCAGGACGACCGCGCTAAAGTTCTGTACCGAAACGGCGACTCATATTTTGGAGGCTACAGCGAGAACAAGAGGCAGGGGCTCGGGCTGTACGTCTTTGCGAGCGGGGGTTCCTACGCCGGAGAATACGACGCCGGCAAGCGCTGCGGCCAGGGCACCATGATGATGCCGGACGGCGGCATATACAAAGGGGCATTCGAGGGGGATAAGTTCCAGGGGCAGGTGCGGAATTGCGCTGACCACGCAATGAGCGCACAGAAATCGAGCTCGTTATTTCTCGTTGACTCATGCACTATTTCGTTTCTTGCCTTTCATCGTGTTGACACATTGCCGATCTCAATTGCGTCATTGCTCAGGTGAGCACGAGCTGGATCAACCTGGCCCAAGTGTGCAATGCATATAATGGTATGGGCTGTCTCGCACATGTCGCGTCCTCCTCGATTCTAGCGATGGAGCAAGAGACGCAGTCGTGTTGAGCCCATTTGGGGCGCGCGAGCGGCTGTGAATCTCTCCTCCCAAGGCAGAGGCAAGATTGTGAAATCGCGGGAATTGGCCGCCAGCGGATGTTGTGAATCGCGCCCGGCCATGTTCAGGGAGCTTATTTCTACCCCGACGGCAGCTGCTACGTCGGCGCTTGGCAGGAGGGAAGGAAGCACGGCGAGGGTGTTCACTGGGACAAGGAAGGCGGCTGCTTGAGAGGGACCTGGGTGAAGGGCGTGCTCAAGGGCGAATGCACTTATGACCAGCCTTCTTACAGCTTCAAGGTAGCAATCCGTCAGCTTATCATCAGCAGCATGCCAGGACAGAGGGTGTTGACGGCTCACCGTGGCTCGAGGAAAACATTGCGATGAGTGCGGGGTCCATTCGCCGATGAACCAATCGACCAGCCAGCTGTCATTTGACTGAATTCACCAAGCAATTAATCGATTGCAACAATTAAACCATTAAACATACAACCATCTGATTTAACGATCCAGCTAAGCGACACTTTGGCGGGCCGTAAAGGGCGGACCGCGGGCGAGCTGCGGTCGCGTGGCGCGCCACGCCAGCCAACTCAACGAAGATGTCGCTTTCGGCGCCATTGAATGCCTGTCAATCGAAGCAGAGATATCCAAGACCCACTTTGAAGGAAAATTGTACAGGAACATGCTATAAATTACTGAACATCTGCTCTTTCCCAAAAGCGCTTCTGGGCAAGCACTAAGACTTCTGGAACTACTCATTGGTCAGGGCAATTTCGTGAAAGATATCCCCGCTGGGGACTGCAGTTTCACCGTCTCCAGCAGCAGGACAATGGATCACACGCTGCCCAAGACGGCGGCCGCTTTCATTCTGGCGGAAAATGGCCCCACGCTGACGCTCGAGGGGACGTATTCCATACCACCAGGTGGGAGGACGAATTGACGTTCAGCAACCGCTGTTGTCTTTTGCTTGATATCGTACCCAGCTTGATGTAATTCGTGTGAACTCCAGTGGCTAATATGGTCCAAATCTTAGACAAATCGTTGCCAAAAGCTCCGGAGCAGAAGTTGGAGATTTCGAAATGCAAGTGCAAAGTCCTAGGGATTCCCTTTCGTCTTGGGCAAAGCTTCGCGGCGAGGATTTTGCGCTACATGCACGATATCACCCGCCAACACCGCTCTGATCAAGGGCAAAAACTTCCCCTTGCCACTGGCTGACTCGATGCTGTGCTTCAACGTCGCAACTGAGAGCGGCGCGTGTCCCAGTTGACCGAGCCGTGTCCACATTTGCTGCACGTTCAGGATTTCATCATCAAAATACGCAAGCAAGGGAAAAAGATACTGGGAATAGGGCATAGATCAGCATTGAGTATGCCGGTGGGATTCGACTAATTAGTCAAAAAAGGGCCCAAAATACACTGTTTTGAAAATCGCGTACCATGTAACACGATTGAAAATCGTGTAGGAATCGTGTTGAATCGTGTATTCAATATACGCAAATGGGACCAAACCGTTATAGCCCCAAGAATTTGTGTCGCAGGCGCCGGAGACGAGCCAGCAGAAGAGGAAGAGGCGCCCCCCGACGACCAGCCGCCCATGCCAGCGTCACCCTACTACGAGGGGCTCGGGTTCGCATGCAGGACGGGGTGCCCATTCCCCTCCACGGACGTCCCCTTCCCGCCGATCGACGCCCCCAAGCCGCCGCCCATCTCCCCTGCGCCAGAGTGAGAGCCCCAACGCGGCCAAGCGCAGCGCTCCAGGGGCATAGCCATGAGGCATTGCTGTCATTGGTGCAAGCACAGGAAATTTCACCGTTCAGTCTGTTCTATGAGAAAACTTCTTCAATTTGCGTGTTGAATGCAGGACTGATTGCGGCCTTCGAATACAGCGAAAGTGCCGCGCTAGTTGCGCTGCTGCTGTGCCGGATGGCAGCTCATTTTCCTGGGCTTGAATGCGAACCTTCGCCATCTTTAAGGGGCCGGTCTCAACAGGGGGGCCGAGTCATGCTGGGGAAGGGTGTCGAGCGATAATGTTGCCGAATGTACTGGGAAATGCGATTCTGAGTGACAACACGGCAGGCCATGAAAACCCACAGCCGCCCTTGACGAAAGGAAGAGAAAGAGGGTCCGGAAACGTTAGTTGGATCCCCGAACCGCGTCGCAAGAAATATGGCCATCTATTTCAAAATATATCGAAACTCAAAAGTCAGTCATGAAATTTCCAATTCCGTTGAAATAAACACGTCCCAGGGAAACACCATTCGGGAGGCGGCGGATCCAATTTCGCTGAAGGCAAGCGCCGCTGCTGCTCAGCGAAGGTACACAAATCCCACACAACGCAATGTCAGATGTGCCGAACACACTAAGCTGCAAGGTTAAAAAACTCAATTGAGGACATTCGTAGTCATGATACAATGTCCATTGCCATGACACGCAATACGCTACATTGTGCCATCGCGTTCCCTGTTACGTACTCGACACTGGTGACAAGCGTTACAAGGCACTGCAAGATTGCGCCAACAAGCCAGGTGTGGGCAGCAATTTCCACTAGGATTAAAAGGACGAAATAACACATTTTGCGAACACATATGAAATGCGTTTCATCAACGTTCGGCATGCTAGGAACGAAAATAACACAACCTCGTGAACTTTGTACCCATTTGAAAACGTGTTATTTGGCCCTTTTCTCCCTAGTTCTCATTATGCAACCGCGAATATGCGCTGATCTGTCCGGCAACGTCGCGAAGTTTGGGCGTCTCATCAGTCGTCCAGCTGTTTCAACGAAGCTATATCCCGGCATTTCCCGTGCCAAGATACGAATCTGTACCAATGAGCCCGGGCTCGCTGGCACCAGCTTGAGATTCATGCAACTTTCCTGGTTAGGCACTTACATCCAAACGTTTCCCGACAGCCGCAGTTTGTCTGGTGCTTGTGTGAGACTTGCGCAGCTCTCCATATTTGCGCAATGAAGCTCTGCAGGCAATTACAATACATTTAGTTGTGCCAGTGCTCACAATTTTTCCAGCATCTGTTTGACATTTTATTGCGCTCTTCATCTACAGAAAACCATCTTTAGAATTGACCCCAAATTGTATCAGTAGCCTCAAGTTTTCGGTGTCGTAGCTCTGCACGGAGGAGAGGTGGATACGGTGCTGCAGGAGGATGCGTATGAGGCGCAGTTATGCCTCAAAGTGGGTGTATGCCTCATAAGTATGTCGATGTGCACCATGATTGCAATGGCGATCGGCGGCTACTCTTGCATATTTACGTACATTCAAGCCGTAGCAATGAGCATCCGTATAACGATCGGAATCTACGTTAATCCAGAAGTATAGCATCAAAAGCAAGTTGAGGCCTGGATAGGAAGACAAGTTGTAGGCAGATCGTAGGCAACAATGTCTCTGTGATTGTCACAGTACTGTGATGTCACAGTAGCAAACATTTGGGACCACCTATAGCCATTCATACATTGGCTTCGAACGAACGCGCGAGATAGACGTCGTTCCGAGCAGTCAACTCGATGTACTTGAACCACCTGATCTCCTTGGCATCCAGTAGATCTCGTTGCAGGGCCGATCCGCAAGGCACGGTCAGGGACTCTCAAAGCAGTACTGGGCCAATGCACTGATCAGTGCATGGAGTACTATGGATATCATGATGTAAATACTGCTAAAGCTTTAGCACCAGAACACTGGCATATTGCCTGCAAGTGCGTTTCTCTCCCAAGTGGGCCGCACCGTTGCGCTCACTCTCCCGACTCCGGAGCCTCCCGGAGCCCACAGAGGACCCCGCCACGCGGCCAACCAGCAATGACGTGTTTACAAGTGCGTGGCCCGCTCGTCAAATGGCGTCCGTTCCACCGCAACGGCCCGCCGCGCCGCCGGTTCCCGCGTCCGGTCCCCGGGGCGCCGCGGCCGTGGCGGCGCTTTCCAAGTCGCTCAACCAGTCAGCAAAATCCTTCAAACGCTCCAAAGCCCAGCCGCTCCACGGAGCGCACCCGGGGCCGATCGACGGGGCCGAACGGCTCGTGTCCAGAAGCAAAGAAGTCGCACTCTAACACGGTTCATCGGCAATCCAAATCCAAAATCAAATCCCCCTAGATTCCTCCATCGTTTCCCCGCGCCCGAGCAGTCAAGATTCCCGACCTCTCTTGATCGCTCAGGCCGCGACCCCATCCCGCCGCATATCATTTCCTGCCGGCCGGCCTGCATCTAATGTACAGCGGCGCGCTCACAGCTAATGTACAGAGGCGACCCCTGGAGTTCGCATTGATGCGTGGGTGTGAATGACCTGCAAAGTGGCAGCGCATTGTGACATGTGCTCGTGTGAAAAGCCCTCCCACAGAAAAAGTACAGGCAGGCTCCCATCTCGGTTGCTGAACGCGCGCCACGCCCACTTTGCGGGCCGCGGCTCGCCGACTGACCCACCATCCGCCCCTGACCCATTGACCCGCTGGTCGCCGCGCCCCTCGCCGGGCTCCCGGGTGGCCGGAACCAACTCCCAACGCCAATGATTATTACCTGCCGCAACTAGTCGTACAATATTATTCCCCTATTTTTATCTTCCTCCTTTTCCGTTTCTCTTTTTGGTATCATGTACATTTTTGCAGGCACAGTCTCATGCCGATGTCGTTTGGCGATTGTGCTGGCTGTGCCTTTGCCTCACTGCGGGTGGGGAGCCCTGCTGAGGTCAGCCAGCAAGGAGTTCCAAATGGGAGAGCCCGCCCAGGGCAGAACCGTGGAGGCGCGCCCCGCCAGGTTGAAGTTGCTGCATTGAAACAGCCAGCCGCGGTTAGCGTGTGTCCATAAGCTTCTTCAATTAAAAATCATTAGCCTTGCTCTAAGTAGTAAGTTGGTTAGATTATTATTATATATTTGTGCAATTTGAAAAAATAAAATAAAATAACTCAAACAGAATGTGAATTGAAATAGATTTCAAAGGGGTCGAATTATTTTACATAGCGCGAGATGCCGGCTTAGTGTGCGATGCGCGAAAGCTGGACATTGCGCGTAAGTGAGCGACGACATTGCGCGCCCCATTCTCTTTTGCACGGATACGGTGCTTTGCATGAAGCATATGCCAGTGAAGCCATCTATAGCGCAAATGTGCTTTTGACTAGTAGATATGCACGACACAGTGCATCAAATGTGCTGATGATGCATTGATGTTATCCCATCCACACACGGATTTGCAACGAATCTAGGCGCCACGCGATGCGTTGCAGCCACTGCAGAAGATTTCCATGAAAACAAATAAGTCATGCTTCCGGATATCCCCTTGTGAACCAAGAGCCAAAGCAATGCTCTTTTGCATACATCAGAACAACATTTAAACAATTTTCAGTGTAAAATATCTTTGTACTTGCAGAATATATATCTGCATCTACATCAGCATGATGTGTACATGTATACGGATTTAGACACAGATATGTGCATTGGCACAGACATAGGGTCCATGCACGTATATAATATGCATGTATACAACTGCACAACATGTATCCATGCATCGGTAGTCACGGACGACAGAAGACGGTGCAAGATGAGAAAACGCGTGATATGCGTTCCCTACCTCTCGCTCTGACGCCTGACAGCAGCAGCGTACGGGGCAACCCTGAGAGGTGGCGGTACGTAGTGGAACTCGACACCAGCGATGGTCTGAATCCTGTCTACGACTTGACCTTGCCACACGCAGGACAGCTGAGTTGAATGCATGAGGCATTTAATTCTTGTACAGCACGCACGTGAGGGAATGCGTGCAACAAAACGCGTGTGATGTTCGCGTTGTGTATCCATGCAAGCGCACTGGATTAGGCAACGTTAGGTAATGCCAGGCGAAGACTTGGGCATCCTGTATCCAGGTCCCCCTACTTCAGTTCTGGTTAAGCGCTGGCAATACAAGGCACTTCTCAGATGCGATGTATGGGTGCGCGATACCGATCTCAAGAGCACACCATATTGTAATTTCAATTCAAATTTACGCTTAAACTTGTTTCGAGATCTGAGACTTCAAAATCTCAGATTGAGGCTGCGCGATGGATGAAAGGTCCATGGCATTAGCGAACTTCTGGGTGGAGCATCTTCTGACCTTGGTGCTGACCCTCGGCGAGAGATTTGTACCGTTCCACGGCGGCCTCGATGATGGCGGTGGCATGTGCCACGGACGCCCGGCTCCCCTGAACGGACGATGGCTCGAGTCAAATTAGGTTTCACTGAATTACGTTTGATAACGTGGAAAGGCAAGATCGCGCTTCTCTGGATATTTGTCAGAGTGCCCATGTTTCGTGTAATTGCCCTGTTTGCAGCGCCAAAATCTCACATCTTGCTCTTTAATAATTATGGAAATTTCAGGCTATGTGCCAAAGTCCCGGGATCAATGCGTTTCGCCACCCGAATTCTTCGCTAGAGAATGGCGTATGAGCTTATGGAAAGCAATGAAATGCTCTTAAAATGTCTGTTAACCAATTTGACTGCACACTATGTCTCTGCACAACATGCGCTGGTGCGTGTAGTGGATTGTAACCTGCTCGCTAATTGATATATGGCAAGAAGGATTTTGCATCTTTTAACTCATGCAATGTAAAAGCATCAATTGGTGTGCAATCGAAATCAATTGCCGAACTCATCACCATAAATCCAACTTTAACACAGACGTGTTATTGTATACGTGTTATTATACCCACCTGGAGCACGAAGACCCGCACTTTTCTCGGATCCATTGGGCTCAGAGGTT